TGGCAGGACCCCCGATAGTAGAGTAGTCGGCCGGGCCTCCAACGGCAAAGGACACAGGGTTGGCAGGACCCCCAGCAGGAGAGTAGTCGGCGGGGCCTCCAACGACACAGGACATAGGATTGGCAGGACCCCCGGCAGGAGTGTAGACGGCGGGACCTCCAACGAGACAGGACGTACGTCAATTCGGTCTCAATTTCCACTGCTACGCTGATGACACTCAGCTCTATCTCAGCACCTCACCATCCGCCCAGCTCCCTCCACAGTCTTTGGTCAACTGTCTCCATGCCATAAAAACCTGGATGACAGCAAATCTACTCAAACTCAACAGTAAGAAGACTGAGCTCATGGTTGTGGCCCCCAAAGCACTGCTCCGGAAGGTTGGGGATCTCCTCCTCCACATTGACGGTTGTTCCATCTCCCCGTCTCCCGAAGTCCGTAACCTGGGTGTCATCCTTGACTCCACTCTCTCATTTCAGTCACACATCAAATCCGTCACTAAGTCTGCCTTCTATCACCTCAGGAACATCTCCCGTCTACGACCATCACTCTCTGATTCCGTGGCCGAGACCCTCATTCATACATTCGTCTCCTCCCGGTTTGATTACTGCAACGGAGTCCTGTTCGGGGTTCCCAGTAAAGCCCTGGACAGGCTCCAGTATGTGCAGAACTCGGCTGCCAGGGTGCTCACTCACACCAAGCCCTGGCAGCACATCACCCCCACCCTGATCCACCTCCACTGGCTCCCAGTCAAGCACCGTATCACCTATAAACTCCTTCTTCTGACTTACAAATCCCTCCATGCCCTCGCCCCCCAATACCTGTCTGACCTTCTCCGCTACCACACTCCATCCCGGAAGCTAAGATCATCTGGACAGGATCTCCTCTCCACCCCCCGCACCAGGTTGCGGACTTTTGGTGACAGAGCCTTCAGTGTGGCATCCCCCACCCTCTGGAACTCTCTCCCCCCCGAAATCCGCAGCGCCCCAACCCTGGACATTTTCAAAAAAGGCCTCAAAACGCACCTTTTTACCAAGGCTTTCGCCACTGTATAGTTAGTTTAATAGGTTTATTTTTCCGCTACTTCCCCCCCCCCCCACCCCCTTCACCTGTCTGCCTTTTTTCCCCTACTCCCCCCCCCCCTACCCGACTTGTAAAGCGACCTTGGGTTTCCTGAAAGGCGCTATAAAAATATGATATATTATTATTTATTATTAAAGGGTTGGCAGGACCCCCGGCAGGAGAGTAGTCGGCGGGGCCTCTAACGGGACAGGACACAGGGTTTGCAGGACCCCCGGCAGGAGAGTAGTCGGCGGGGCCTCCAACGGCACAGGACATAGGATTGGCAGGACCCCCGGCAGGAGAGTAGACGGCGGGACCTCCAATGAGACAGGACAAAGGGTTGGCAGGACCCCCGGCAGGAGAGTAGTCGGCGGGGCCTCCAACGGGACAGGACACAGGGGTGGCAGGACCCCCGGCAGGAGAGTAGTCGGCGGGGCCTCCAACGGCACAGGACACAAGGTTGGCAGGACCCCCGGCAGGAGAGTAGACGGCGGGACCTCCAACGGGACAGGACATAGGGTTGGCAGGACCCCCGGCAGGAGAGTAGTCGGCGGGGCCTCCAACGAGACAGGACAAAGGGTTGGCAGGACCCCCGGCAGGAGAGTAGTTGGCGGGGCCTCCAACGGGACAGGACACAGGGTTGGCAGGACCCCCGGCAGGAGAGTAGTTGGCGGGGCCTCCAACGGGACAGGACACAGGGTTGGCAGGACCCCCGGCAGGAGAGTAGTCGGCGGGGCCTCCAACGGCATAGGACATAGGATTGGCAGGACCCCCGGCAGGAGAGTAGACGGCGGGACCTCCAACGAGACAGGACAAAGGGTTGGCAGGACCCCCGGCAGGAGAGCAGTCGGCGGGGCCTCCAACGGGACAGGACACAGGGGTGGCAGGACCCCCGGCAGGAGAGTAGTCGGGGGGGCCTCCAACGGCACAGGACACAAGGTTGGCAGGACCCCCGGCAGGAGAGTAGACGGCGGGACCTCCAACGGGACAGGACATAGGGTTGGCAGGACCCCCGGCAGGAGAGTAGTCGGCGGGGCCTCCAACGAGACAGGACAAAGGGTTGGCAGGACCCCCGGCAGGAGAGTAGTTGGCGGGGCCTCCAACGGGACAGGACACAGGGTTGGCAGGACCCCCGGCAGAAGAGTAGTCGGCGGGGCCTCCAACGGCATAGAACATAGGATTGGCAGGACCCCCGGCAGGAGAGTAGACGGCGGGACCTCCAACGAGACAGGACAAAGGGTTGGCAGGACCCCCGGCAGGAGAGCAGTCGGCGGGACCCCCAACGGGACAGGACATGGGGTTGGCAGGACCCCCGGCAGAAGAGCAGTTTGCGGGACCTCCAACGGCACAGGACATGGGGTTGGTAGGACCCCCGGCAGGAGAGTAGTCGGCGGGGCCTCCAACGGCACAGGACAAAGGGTTGGCAGGACCCCCTGCAGGAGAGTAGTCGGCGGGACCTCCAACGGGACAGTACATGGATTGGTAGGACCCCCGGCACAGGAGTAGTCGACGGGGCCTCCAACGGGACAGTACATGGAGTTGGCAGGACCCCTAGCGGAACCTCCAACGGACCAGGACATTGGGTAGGGACTTGAGACGGGACTCGAGAGGAGAATCGAGAGGGGAACCAAGGGGGAACTCGAGAGGGGACTCGAGAGGAGAACTAGAGAGGGGACTCGCGAGGGGAACTAGAGAGGGGACTCGAGGAGGGACTAGAGAGGGGACTAGAGGAGGGACTAAAGGAGGGACTAAAGGAGGGACTAAAGGAGGGACTAGAGAGGGGACTCGAGAGGAGAACTAGAGAGGGGACTCGAGAGGAGAACTAGAGGAGAGACTAGAGGAGAGAGGAGGAACTAGAGAAGGGAACTCGAGAGGGGACTCGCGAGGGGAACTAGAGAGGGGACTCGAGGAGGGACTAGAGAGGGGACTCGAGGAGGGACTCGAGAGGGGACTAGAGGAGGGACTAAAGGAGGAACTAGAGCAGAGACTAGAGGAGGGACTAAAGGAGGGACTAAAGGAGGGAACTCGAAAGGGGACTCGAGAGGGGAACTAGAGAGGGGACTCGAGGAGGGACTAGAGGAGGGACTATAGGAGGGAACTCGAGAGGGAATTCGAGAGGGGACTCGAGAGGGAACTCGAGAGGGAACTCGAGAGGGAACTCGAGAGGGGACTCGAGAGGGGACTCGAGAGGGAACTCGAGAGGGGACTGTGGCAGCTGGGGCCAGAGCTGGGTCTGGAACCATGGCTGCGGGGGCCTGAATTTAAGCCAGAATCATGGCTGTAAGGTCCGGTTCTGGAGCCGGAAACATGGCTTTAAGGTCCGGTTCTGGAGCCGGAAACATGGCTGTAAGGTCCGGTTCTGGAGCCGGAAACATGGCTGTAAGGTCCGGTTCTGGAGCCGGAAACATGGCTGTAAGGTCCGGTTCTGGAGCCGGAAACATGGCTGTAAGGTCCGGTTCTGGAGCCGGAAACATGGCTGAATGGGCCGGCTCTGGAGCCGGAATTGAAGCCAGAATCATGGCTGTAAGGTCCGGTTCTGAAGCCGGAAACATGGCTGTAAAGTCCGGTTCTGGAACCGGAAACATGGCTGTAAGGTCCGGTTCTGAAGCCAGAAACATGGCTATATGATCCAGTTCTGAAGCCGGAAACATGGCTGTATGATCCAGTTCTGAAGCAGGGACCATGGCTGCTGGGGCCAGAACTGGGTCCGTAACCATGGCTGCTGGGGGCTGAACTGGTTCTGGAACCCTGGCCCTTTGGGCTCGTGCTGCCAACCTGGCCTTGCGACTCTTTCCTTTAGGAGCCGTTTGGAGGCTCCGTGGACCTCCAAAGGCCAGACGAGTACCAGCGAATGGCTCCTGGACTGTAGCAAACACTGGGTGAGAAGCAGGGGCTAACGCCAGACGGACCACACCGATGCGTGTGGTATCAAAACGGGAGTTGGGAGGCCTGGGGCTGTCAGGCAGGGGATAACACACAAATCCAAAATCCTGCCCGATAAGAATTTAACCAAGCCTGGCTTCTCCATAGTAATCCAGCGTGCCTCTGCCAGAACAGCCTCTCGCTGCTGAACCCTGGACGCTCCCAACCATCGATACGAGCAGTCATCCAAAGCAAAGGAAAACTCCAATAGCTCCTGCTCAAAAGGACCTGCTGGTCCTATATTTTGGGTCGGGTTGTAATGTTACGGTGTGCAGGAATCAGGACCCAAATGCAGATTTAAGTGACAAAAATAATTCCTTTATTTCAAGGCTACCATATACAGAGACAGAACATTACACTCACCGCAGACCAAGTCATTACACAAGACAACCCAACAAAGAGAGACAGACAACCCAGAACTTAAATACACCCAGGACTAATCACATAAACACGAGACAGGTGAGGAGGGAGGAGAAAACACAGAGGCACCAGGTGAACACAATCGGGTAATCAGGGAGGGAAACAGACAGAAAGCAAACAGGCAGGAAACGGGGGTGAACACTTTACAAAATAAAACAGGAAACCCAAAGATAGAAAAAGACAAGAAAAACACCAACACAGACAGATCCTAACAGTATGGTATTAAAACCCAAGTTATCAAGAGTGCTGTGGACCAAGGGGTCATTCAACCTTGACTTTTTTAAGGGTTACAATGTACATACAGTAGGGCGAACAAATAGACTACTATTCCCAATAGTAGTAGCGACCAACAGGTTATCAGGAAATTCAGGGCTCCTTCAGACATTTTCTATTCTTCTCTGAAATGTTCTGGTCTCTGTGTCAGCCTTACATGAGGTCATTAAAACGTAAAACATCCCTTAAATATGGGTTAATAAAAAGTCCCTCAAAAAATGGTTTAATAAAAAGTCCCTCAAAAAATGGGTTAATAAAAAGTCCCTCAAAAAATGGGTTAATAAAAAGTCCCTCAAAAAATGGGTTAATAAAAAGTTCCTCAAAAAATGGGATATTGAAACAAACTCCACACCGGCTATATCAACCTGTTTCAGCGGAGAGTGGAGTCCCCTGTGCCGTCCTGGCTTGCCGTGTCTTTGTCCCCCCGATCCGCTGACGGCGGCTTCTGGGCTGCCTGCTAGAGAGATGTCTTCCGGATCCTCCTCCGACGGCCTGCTGATGGCGGCTTCCGGGTCGATGCTGGAGAGATGTCCTCCCGATCCTCCGGCCCGCTAGAGATGTGTTAGCAGAGTAAGCATAACTTCATTGCTGTTTAGCATCCAAATAAGCGGAGGAATAACGAAACATCAGAGACAGTGACATTTCATTCAACGGGCTCTCCCATTGGAGGCGTGGCTTTATTTATACCCATCATGACCTTTAACCTGTTACGCTATTGGCTTCCGGTCATGCACAACAAATAACACGAATTGGTAACACATTTACCTGAATGTTAACACCCCCACTTGATATCACATTTTTTTTTTTTTTTTTTTTTTTTTTTTTTTTTAACAAATAAAAACATTATAAGGTTCTCTACCTTACAGAAATTGTTACTCTCCAAACATAAACTTTGCAAACTTAATCAACTTAAACTTTGGTGCAGGTTGTCATAACATCTGCCACCATCTGGTCTGTTGGACAATAAATCAGATTTGTTTTTCCCCCTTCCACAGTAGACCTCAGAAAATGATACTTAATGTCAATATGCTTGCATCTCTGTCTGTTAACAGGATTCTTTGCCAACGATATTGTGCCCTGGTTGTCTTCGTAAATCGTAGGTAGTGTATATTCACATTTGTCAATTCCTTCTAGTAGTTGTATTAAGTACATACACTCCTGCATAGTAGCTGCTAAAGCAATATACTCAGCTTCACAAGTTGATAATGCGACAGTTGGCTGCTTTTTTGTTTTCCAGGAAACCAGTGGCCCGCTCTCATTAAGGCTAACACAATAACCTGACATACTACGTCTGTCGGTTAGATCAGCAGCCCAATCTGCATCGCTGTATGCTTGTAAGCCCAGTTTTTCACTCTTACTTTTCCAGTAACACAGTTCCCTGTCGATTGTACCTTTCAAATATCTCAGTACATGTGTTACAGTAGTCCATTGCTCTTCTGTCGGCTCAGAAAAATACTGGGACAGTTTACTGACAACAAAACTCAAATCAGGCCTCGTGCACACAGCCAGGTAGATCAGGCTACCTACTGCCTCTCTGTACATTCTAACATCCTTCATCGGTACAGCATCATCTAAGTAGTTCAGTTTTTGCTCACAAGGTGTCGCTCTCGGTTTACAATCCTGCATGTTAAACCTTTCAAGTATTTTGTTCACATATTTCTTCTGTGACATCTTTACACATGAATCAGTTTGATCAAAATCAATGCCCAGGAAATGTTTTAGTTTCCCCAAGTCTTTCATCCTGAATTTAGCTGTGAGCATCTCCTTAACAACTTTCAATGCATTGTTATCACTAGCTGCAATGATTATGTCATCAACCCATATTATCATTATCACTTTCCAGTTTTCAGTTTCTTTTGTGTAAACACAATGGTCAGCCGGGTTCTGTAGGAACTCTTTTTCACTCAGATATTCATGCAGCATTTTGTTCCAATTTCTGCCTGACTGTTTAAGCCCATATAGTGACTTTTCTAGCTTGTACACCAACTTTTCACCTTTACTGGATTTGACCTGAAAACCTTCTGGCTGTTCCATGTATATCTCACAGTCTATTGGTGCATGTAGGTAAGCAGTTTTAACATCCATTTGGTGTAAAATCAGATTTTCCTGTGCTGCTTTTTGCATTAACACTGATACTGGTGAGGTTAGCGGTAGGTGAAAATGTCTCATCATAGTTTTCGCCCCTCTTCTGACTGTATCCCTTGGCTACATATCGTGCCTTGTATCTTTCGGACCCATCAACATTGGTTTTGATATCATACACCCATTTACCCCCCACTGCTTTCTCACTCTGAGGTAAGTTGGTCAGGATAAATGTATCATTTTCTTTTAGTGATTGCATTTCCTCATCCATTGCAATAACCCATTGTTTTGACTCAGATGAAGTTACAGCTTCCCTAAATGTTAAAGGGATATTGCACATTAATCTGTAACAATAGTCAATATTTGTCAGTAGCTGATCCTCACTTTCCTTATCACATACACTGGCACATAAGTAAGCTGGCTTCTTCCTCACTCTTGAAGGATAACGCCTAAGCTCACTCTTGTCGTCTTCTGTCTCTGTTACCACAGGTATAGATACTGGACTAACGTTAGTAGTGGGCCCATAACCTGTTAGCAGAGTAAGCATAACTTCATTGCTGTTTGGCATCCAAATAAGCGGAGGAATAACGAAACATCAGAGACAGTGACATTTCATTCAACGGGCTCTCCCATTGGAGGCGTGGCTTTATGTATACCCATCATGACCTTTAACCTGTTACGCTATTGGCTTCCGGTCATGCACAACAAATAACACGAATTGGTAACACATTTACCTGAATGTTAACAAGATGTCCTCCCGATCCTCCGGCCCGCTGATGATGCCTCCCGGGTCGAATTCCTTGACGAGGGCCAGGTCTGTCCTGATGTCGTCTAGGGTCCTCGCAGGTGTTTTCCCGACCGCACACTGGCTCCAGTGGTACCAGTTGTCCCCCTTTCCTTCTAGGCGGACGGCATGGGATGTCCTCTGGGTCACTCGGTAGGGGCCGGAAAACCTGGGGTTGAGCCACTTAGGCCTGATGACTTTCAACCAGACGAACTCTGCTGTGTTGGCCTCGTGCTTCTCGTGTCCCCCTTTGGCGTCCGTAACCTGTGTGGAGAAATCTGATACCAAGCCCTTAAGTTGCCGGTAGTATGGTTTCGAACACATGACCTCTACTTCCTTTCCTACGCTCAAGGCTCCTGGGCCCGGGAATTGGTGGCCACGTGTCAGCTCAAATGGGGAGAAACCTGTCCCTCTGTTAATGGAGCTTCTGATTGACATGAGGGCTAGAGGCAAGGCATCTAGCCAGTTCATGCCTGTCTCCTCACATGCTTTGCTGAGTTTCTGTTTGATGTTCTGGTTCATTCTTTCTACCTTTCCCTGTGACTGTGGATGGTAGACTGCTCCAAAACTGTGTCTCAGTCCTAAGGACTGTTCTACTGTGCGTAGGTCATGGTTCTTGAAATGGCTGCCATTGTCTGACCTCACTTTCCTAGGAAACCCATGTAGTGGAATGTAATGTGTGACTAGGAATTTGATCACTGAGTCTGCATCCTCTCTCCTGCATGGCATAGCTTCTGGCCAACCTGTGTATGCATCTACCACAACTAGTAAGTACCTGAACCCTCTTACTTTGTCAATCATGTCAGTGTAGTCAATGATGATTTATTCTCCTGCCATCTTAGGTAAAGGGAACTTTCCCTGGTGTGGTTTTACAGTAGCTCTGATGTTGTGGGTTAAGCAAATTACACATTCTTCCAGGTGATTAGCTATCATGTCAGGTAGGTAAGGGTGCCACCAGTGAGTCAGGTGTCTGCTCATTTGAGTTGTACCGCAATGTGTTGGGCCGTGTGCTTCTTTAAGCATTGATCTTACCCATCCTGGGGGTATCACTGGTCTCCCATCTGGGGAGTACCATATCAAGTCTTTGTTGGTAGCTCCTCTGTCTAACCATACTGTTTTATCCTGAGGAGACCCTGCTGCTTGAGCTTCTTTGAGAGTATCATCTGTTACTGCAGGCAGTAAGTCAGCAGATTTTGAGACCAGCATTTGAAACTGGGGTATATACCCTGCTTTGGCTTTAGCTGCTTTGTCTGCTGCATTGTTCCCCCAAGACAAATAGTTGTCTGCCATGCTGTGACCTTTACACTTGAGTAAAGCTAGCTTGTTGGGTAACATTACTGCTTCTGCAAGCCTTTTGATCTCTTTCTCGTGTTTGATGGGGGTAATGGTGGATGTTACAAATCCTGCTCTCATCCACTGGCGCATTTCCACATGTATGACACCATGAACATATGCTGAGTCAGTATAGATGTTTACATATTTTTCTTTTGATAGCTCTAATGCTGCAATGACTCCCATTACTTCTGCCAACTGTGCTGAGACTTTCCCTGCTACTTTTCCTGCTGCTTTTTCCTCAAACTGTCCCTCAGCTGTTTGACCTACCACTGCGTAGGCCGCTTGGAGCCCGTTGGTGGGGTGTCTGAAACAACAGCCGTCTGTGAACAGGTTTTCTGCATGTGGCATAGGCTCGTCTCTGAGATCTATTCTTAGCTTCACATCCTGGATGATTCTTTCCTGACACCTATGGGGTTCTCCGCTGGCAATGGTGTCTGCGCTCCTTCATGTGTGTAGGTGATGTGTGCTTGCGTCAGAGTTTTCTCTAACATGGTCTGTCTTGTTGAAGTCATTGTGAATGCACTTGAGTTCACAAAAGAGACAATGCTATGTGTTGTCAGTACTGTCAAAGGGTGTCTCATCACAATGTGTGAAATCTTGTTTAAGATACGTGCTGTACCTGCTGCATGTCTTGTGCATGGAGGTTCTCTGTTCTCCACTCTGTCCAGTGTGATACTAATGTACATCAGTATTGACCTACATCCCCCCTTTTTCTGAAATAGAATACCATTTACTGTGTTTTCACTTTCAGAAACATCAAGGAAACATGGTAATGCTTAGGATGCAGAGGCGAGAGAGGTGACCTGGGACATGGATTGTTTGAGAGAAATGAACGCAGCTTCTGCAGCTTGTGTCCAGTTCAGTGTGGCAGTGAGATTGCGCATGCCTTTCTCATTGATCAGTGTTCTGAGCTCAGCTGTTCTTGGGTTATACTCTGGGATGTAGTGTCTGCTGTAGCCTGTGAGACCCAGAAAAGATAGCATGTTTTTGACTGTCTTGGGTTTGGGGTGGTGTAATATGCTTTATTGATGTGCTGCTGACATGCCTGTACCTGCTGGAGAGATAACTCTGCCCAAAAATGTCACCTCTTTACGGGTGCATTGTAGCTTTTTCTTGGAGACCTTGAACCCTGTTGCGTGGAGGCGAACCAGTAGGTTCCTGGTGGCCTCCAGACAAGAGACTGCGGAGGGTGCAGCAATGAGAAGGTCATCTACATACTGGATCAACACCACCCCCTCTGGCAATGAAACGCCGTCTAGCTGTTCCCTGAGTATTTTGTTAAATATTCCTGGAGACAAACTGAAGCCTTGGGGTAGTCTTGTGTACTTTAGGTGTTCCCCCCCCATTGTAAATGAAAAAATAGGTCTCATACTCTCTGCTAGAGGTATGCAGAAGAAAGCGTTGGCCAGGTCAATACAAGTGAACCATATATGTTCAGGTGAGATATTACAGATAGCCGTGTATGGGTTAGGCACTGGTACCAGAGCTGTAGTGGTGATAGCATTAATGGTCCTCAAGTCATGAGCCATCCTATACTCCCTGCTAGGTTTTGATACCGGGAGTATTGGAGTATTCCACTCGCTTTTTGAGGGTTCCAACACCCCTGCTCTCTTTAGTCCCTCCACTACCTTACTGATACCCCCTTTGGCCTGTGGTTTAACAGGGTACTGTGATAGATTTATAGGTATAGAGCTGCTCACCTCAAATGTTATTGGTGCAGCCTTTGAGCAGAAACCTACGTCATGAGAGTCAGATGACCACAGGTCAGGCGGGAGGTCACGCAACATGTCATCAGTGAATGAATGGTCAGTCCTCTCTCTACCATGATGTCTATCCACTTCGTGTCTTTCCATGAAGATGCATTCTTGAGTGCAGATTTTTAGAGCATAAGCTTTGTGTGAGGGAGAGAATGTGAGCGCTGCTATTTGTGTTGGTTCCCAATCTTCGACTTCTAGCAATGTTTTGACCATCGGACCAAGTTCTTTAGCTTCATAGCCCTTTCTGATAGCTAATGAAATGTGTGGTGTAGCTTCAGCTGACATACGGTACCAATAGAGTTGTTCATCAGTGAGTTCAACAGATGCAGCCACCCCCGCTTGTCCCACAAATAAATTGGTTGTGGTTACGTCCCAAATGGACAGAGCCACCTCTTTGTCATATCCATATGCATAACTTTGGTCGTCTTTTCTATCATAATTTAGCGTGAGATGGGGTCTGGAGGGGAACCATAAGGCCTGAGGAGGTTAATCCACGGCTTCCATTGTTGAAAAATGGAAAATAGTCCTGGTGTGTTGTCTTGGGGCCGGTCGAGCAACCCCCAGTATATAGTGGCATACTGAGTTGCATCTGCTTCAGTGGATTGGGCCAACATCATTTGAGAACCTGACTTTATGGTGGATATTGAACAATTGAGGCGAGTGCCGTCTGGAAACGATATTATCAGTCCATCGGGGGAACAGAGGATGGAGGCATTAGCTTTGATAAGAACATCCCTTCCCATGAGGTTAGCCGGACTTTGAGGTGCCAGAATGTACTGATGGAAAAATATCTGGCCTGCTATTTTGGTGGTTAATGGCGTAGTGAGCGGTACTTGCTCTATTTCTCCCGAAAACCCTATGACTGAGACTGTATTACTTGAAATGGACGTGTTGAACACGGGGGAGTTGATAGTTGAATATCTAGCTCCTGAATCAACAAGGAATGGTAGCTTCGAGTTTTTTACAGTCATGTCCATGTAAGGATCCACCAGGCCCGTACATTCTGGGTTCCCTGGGCGACCCCATTGTGGTGGGTATTAGTCTTGTTCGTACTGCACAAACTGGCCATAGGGGGCGGCCATCGCATTGGGTGCAACGTGACCCTGCTCTTGATGTTGGGCCTGTGGGGCTGCCTCATGGGGTTTCTGGAAATACTGCATGTCTGTTGTGTACCCTTGTCCATGCCCTCTCTGTCCCCTTTGTCCCCGCCCCCTCTGTGATGGGGGTCCCTGTGGGCATTCTTTATACCAGTGGTCGGCCTGTCCACAGGTGAAGCACACCTTCTGCTGATATTGGTTCACTCCTGGAGCTGTTCCAAACCCTCCTCTACCTCTGGCTCTGCCTCTGAACCCGCCCCTCTGTTGCTGAAAACCATTATTGTAGCCATATTGGGGCTGGTTATAGGACGGACCTTGGTTGGGAAAACCCCCTTGTGGGTTTTGCGGCCCCGGTGCCTGCCCTGCTGGCGCCACGGGATGAACAATCAGCTGTTTGGCACTCTTTTTCTCATTTTGAACTGTTTTACGGGCTATTTCCAGCTGAGTACGGAGTAGTTGCACTCTCAACTCTTCCTCCTCGGTTTTATTCTTTGTGAGTTGTTTGTTAAATTTGCCTAAGTGATGGGCCAAATGACGCTCCCATGTCTGCGTGTTTAGGTGATCTGCTTCTGGGTTGTCCTCCATGAGAGCTTTAATCTCGGCAAGTACAGCTGCCAGTATCACTTTACGGAACATCTGCACATGTTGGTCATTATTTTCTGGACTACAGTCAGTAGCTACTGTGTATTGTTGGCGTGACCTGAGCAACATGGTTGCTGCGGCCTCTCCAGGTATGAATGTGAAAGACAGTGAACCGTAGCCTCCTCCTGTCTGTGGGAAATGTTCTCTCATTGCCTTGCTAAGCAAGCTGTGTATGTCGTTGGAAGAGATAGGCTTGTCATCGCTCATTCTTCCTGTACCTGATCTTCCCTCAACTCTTTCTACCTCATAGCTGGAAGTTTGTTGTGCTAATATCCTCCTGAAATCTCCAAGGCAGATTGTTTGTCCTACTGACATATCCGCAAACTTTCTCATCCAATGTCTCCCTCCCTCAGTAGGTAGCGGCATTTTGTCCACCAGTGCATGTATGTCTCCTAGTGTGAATGGGTGATAAGTGATATTCCCACTGGGGAGAGCCACTAAAGGAGCCTGTAATACTGGGGCCAAAAAGGCATGAGATGTGGGGTTGTCCGAGGTGTGATGGGATCTTAACATCCCCCGGGGGAGTCCAAGAACCAGTACATCAGTCAATTCAGTGATTGTTCCTTCCAGAGATATGCTCTTAACCTTTGTCCTATTTTTTCTGCAGTTGTCCTGTTTCTGTTCTGCTCGCCCTTGCTGAGCAGTGTCCTGATAGCTACCTCTATACCCTGTGTGTTCTGCTTCAGAGTAA